GCTTGCGCTCTCTCTCTCTCTCTCTCTCTCTCTCTCTCTCTCTCTCTCTCTCTCTCTCTCTCTCTCTCTTAATAAACCTCATGGAACCGTTTGGTCTGCTGTGATCTGTCCAAGCTGTGCACGCCAAAATCCTTTTAGAGGGGACTTTTGCTTTCTCAAAATTAAGAGTAGCCACCTCTTTCCTGCCCGTGTTATGCAGTCTAGATATCCATTCAACACTTGCCATGATAGGACTGTATCTAAATCTACAGCAAAACCTGCCCACTTGTAGACTTTGGGGTATAAGGAGAGTCTCCCCAGTTTGTTTAAGCCTGATGTGGTGGAATCCTGTTATTTGCCGACTATCTTTGACTAGACAGGCCGCCAGATAGCAGGGAGCTCCTTGGGCCAGGCTGACCTAGGCTTCCTTCACCCTACTCTGTCAAAGACACAGTAGGAAGGGCCTACAAGGCCCCTTCAAACCCAGAGTGTCCCCTGGAGGGAGTCCAACACGCTGCCGCTCACTAAACCGGTTTACCCACAGAGCACCTCTGAGACCCCCCACTTACAAAGGCGAATCGTGGTGGGGCTGAAGCCTCTGGTGCTCAGGAAGGCTGTCAGGGTCTGGCCAGTGGATCCCACCTTTCCCCAGCAGGACAAGTCAGGAAGTGAGGTAAGGTTGATGTCTTGAGCCTTAAAGAAAGAAATCGGCGGCGGGGAGAAGAGCAGTCAGCTAGAGGAAAGCCCCAAGGCTGATCCCGGGCCCCGACAGGAGCTGAGCCGGCAGTTCCGGGCCTGACAACCCTGGGTGGTTAGGCCTCCCTAGCCCTTCCCACTCCAGAATTCTCTGGCCAAGGAAGCTCTGGCCCCGGAGGACATCGGAGTGGTGGGGCGTGCTGCCAAGCCCACCTCCCTGGGCTGTGCAGGAGGGCAGCCACCGTTCCCACCGCCGGCCGAGTGCGACTCACCTGTGCCTCTCGCTAGCCCGTTCGCACACCAGGGACGCGTCTCCAGCCCCCTGGGATGATGGGGGCGGGGCCGAGGCCGGGGAGGGGGCAGGGTCTGAAGGGCGGGGCCGAGAGAGGGAGGCCAGGCTGAGAAGCCCGCAGTCGCCACGAAAG